ATTAACAGCTCAAGTGCTGCTTTGGTGTTCATGACATCTAAAAATACTCAAAGGAAAGCCTTCAGTACTTGGATCTATAGAAGCACAAGGCCAAGAATCACAGAAGATGAAACTCAGATAGATGAATTGCAAAAACTGAGAGAGGTAGTGCCCATAGTGCTGAAATCACAGAACCATCAAAGGGAGTCTTTACTCTGTGAAAATCTAGAAGGGATGTGCTAGTAAAATGCAACAACTGTTGAAGTCAATGAGACTCACTGCAGTGTCCCGCAATATTTCAAAGACTTGGTGATTTCATCACCATAGGTACTTTCTTCCCTCTACTGACGTAAATAACAATCCCTTTACACCTTTGGGAATGGTCTTCATAAGCTGCTGTGACCAAAACCCAACCCAAACCAAAACAAACAACCCATCATCTGGTAGCCAACTCTCTGGTCCTGTACCTCTTGAAATTTAGATAAACTTCTTTTTGGACATTATATAGAATGTCCCCAGGACCATATCTGAAGCCTTTCCAACTCAGTGGCTCCCACTAGAGTTTGTGCTTTTCAAGCATGGAAATTCAGAGTCGCCCCTATGCTATAATAAGGCATTAGAGTAGAAATTTAGTGTATACACAGTATAAGATGGCAAAAGGATACTGTTGTCTTTCAAATCTTCCTATCATCTTTGTAATGTAACCTTACTTAGCAATGAGAGAAGATAAGTTCTGGTCAACATTGTAACACTTTCAGAAACTTATCTTATGAAACTCTCTCTCTCTCTCTCTCTCTCTCTCTCTCTCTCTCTCTGTGCAACTAATTGGCAATAGCCATAGTTAGCTGCATCCAAATATTTAAGTTCTTTTGTTTTCCTCTAAGTCCTTTTAAAAAAAAATCAAACTTGATTTGATTTTAAGAAAGTGCCACATTTGAGAAATGAAGTTTGAGAATCAGAGTATCAGATGAACTGCTGGTAAGTACGGTAATATGGTAAGTATTCTACATGACCTTTCAAACATTGTTAGTATGAGGTTATATACATACATACATACATACATACATATACACACACACATATATGATAAAGAGCAGATAATTTGTTATTTTAAAGGAAAACATTTCACATATTTATATTTAAATTTATACTTTCAACTAGTTGGGCCACTGATTTTGCTATTTATTAGTATTTCCGGAAAGAGGTTTGATGGGAAAGGAGGATAACTAGCAAATTTAGCTAAAATGAATCCTAAACATTGTCTGTGGATTTACATTATTCACATTATTCTTGTCCTCTGTTGGATTTGAATCAGCTATATTTTGAACTTCCAGATTACACTATATATTAGAAACTAGAATTAGGTCTCTTTAATTAAGATTATGCTTAAAATCACATCATTAGACAAAATAAGCACTAAGTCTCTTTATACAATTTATTCTACATTTGAATTACACATGTAAATCATTGTTAGCAATGTCTTTCTGTTTCAGTCTCTGGGCTGTTTTCTTTCAAATAACTGATCTACACTGTCAATATTCCTGGTTTCCCTGTATTGCCCTTACTAACTCCCCTCTGTGCCTTTCTCCCCTGTGTCCCTATGTAAAAGTAGAAAATTATTCAACTAAGTTTGGAGAATACGCAACCTATAAATCTTTCAAACAAAATAAGCATCTCAAAAAGAAGCTTAACTGAAAGTCTTGGATCTTTAGCAAGAAAATGGAACAAATCTCTTCTAATCTCTCTGTGACATTCTTACTCAAGATTTTTAGTTGGAGCCAAAAAATATAAAGATCCAATCAGAACACAGAAGAGTAAATTCTCTGATCTTTTCAAACCCTGATGTGTATAAAAGAGAAACCCCCAAACACTGAGTTCTTAAATCATTATGAAAGTTTTTCATCTTTCATAACATAAATTAGAATTAATATATCTTGAGTTTTACACAGTCTTGGAAATTTTTTCCCCCATCTGAATAAAATCTTTTGCTGTTTCCCTCTGGGATCCCAAGAAACAGTCCAAAGCTTTACTATACATGTTATTTGTGCTGGTTTCAGAGGGGAAAAGCTAAAGGGCATACCAATGATATGGTTTTTAAATGTATACAAAATGAATGGATTCAAAATGGCCATTTGTGAGTCATGGCCATCATGCTGGCATCAACTCTCCTTTTTCTTTACTCCAATCAATTATTACTCATTTTCAAACAGATTTTTCCTCTCCTAATACTTCTTGGGTTCACTCATTCTATTCCACTGCCACTACCTTGGACTAAGACCTCATGTCCCAGTACCCAGATTGTTAGCCTGTTCTCTTCTGCCTCCAGTCTCCAAGTTTGGCCTCCCAATTCATTTTGCACATTTCTATCAGTTATTTGAAGCAGTTAGATGGCTCCATGAGTAGAGATCAGAGCCAGGAATCAGGAAGACCTGAGTTCAAATCTGGCCTCAGACACTTACTAGTTGTGTGACCCTGGGCAAGTCACTTAACCTCTGATTGCCTTAATCTGATGGAGAAGGAAATGGCAAACCGCTCTTTGCCAAGAGAACTCCATGAATGGTATTGGCATTCTATGGTCCACGAAGTAACAAATTGTTGTATACAACTGAAGAACAACAGCTATCTTAGAATTCTCTTTTCATTATTTCATTAGCTACCATATTCCTCCATGGCTTATCAGATCAAATATAGGTGGTCCATGCTTTGAGATTCAATGCCTGCTTGGAGATCATCAAAACCCTGACTGTTCAGGTGCTGTGTATCCTGTTTTTGCATTCTCTTCCCTTCATCTAATTGAACAGCAGTGGAAATAGTTGAATAGGAACAGACAACTAGAAGTTTTTTATTAGGCAATGAATAAGGTAGCTAAATTCTAGGTAGTAAAAAATGGGGACAGTTTGTACTCTTATATATTCCAAAGCGGCCAATTCGACTTGATTCTTTTAAATGTATCTCTTAACAGCCGTAGTGGATCAAAATCTAAAATTGTTCTTAACAAAGAACATTAAGATCTCATTAAGAGCAAAAACTCCTCATTCTGGCACCCAAAGCTCTCCATAATCTGATTCCACTTGACCCATTCAACTTTAGTTCCTACTAATTCTACCTCCAACCAGCCCGACATGAATTCTTTCTAATCAGTCCCATTTCCTTATTGTTTCCCACCATATACTATGTTCAGTGTTGCCTTTATCCATGACATACAGACATGTATATATGTGTTTATATACATATATGTATGTATGTATGAATGGAGGGAGAGAGAGAGAGAGACAGAGAGAGAGACAGAAAGAGAGTTTATTCCTATCACAATAGACTAAATCAAAACAGGATATCTTACTGATGAGTGTTGATAGGGCAGGATGCTCATCACACAGTGGGTATGAATGAGTACTGGTTAAAAGAAAGAATGAGCCATTGAAAAATTCTTCCTTTCTGAATAACAAACCTTAATTTAGTGGTGCTAAAAGGGAATAAAAGTGTTATTGATAGTTAGGGAGCCCTAAAGGCAGCTGAAAGAAGGAGGAGGGAGACCTATGGTATGGTATCCTTGCTTTTCTATAAATTCCTTAAAATACTCTAGTAAAACAGTTTTCTGTATTAGACTTTGGTTTTTTAGAAAAAGAGGAAGGGGAGGAGATACTTGAACAGACCCTACTCTCTGTCTATTACGTACTTTAAGTAATAATGAAAATTATATAGTCATATAAAGATCAGAACATTTTTGGGATACTACACATTAAAGCCTTTTTTTCCTTGTTACTGACATTCCTCATGACTAGAGGTGAATTTTATCTTGAATATTTATTATTATTCTTAAGCTCTCTCTCTATACAAACATATACATGTATATGTATGTATATTTAAAATTTGTCATTTATTCATTAATTTGACCAGCACAGATAATCGATACCAATAATTGACCTTTCTTTAACCCTTTGGGCTATGTTTAATAGTTCAGCAATGTATATGCTCTATAGTAAAAAGTACAATAGTACATGTAAGGTATGTTTTACAGGCCTCAAAGATACAACTATCCTATTTCAATTATAGACATGTTGAATGTAGTCCAGAGCCCTTTGCACTATTTGCTAGCACTTTGGTCTTTTTTATATTTTATATATTCCCCAAGGTACCTAAATAGATGTGAAAATTCTAAAGTTACTTGTGTATGAATTATCTGATTTGACTGCTGACCTTGATTAAATCAATCAAATGAGTACTTAATAACCATACTATTTTGTGTAATACAAAGTCCAAGTATACAGGGCATGGAATTTTGCATGGATTTAATTTCATTTATTAAAACCAAGTGCATAGTGTTTAGTGTGTGCATTCAGTGACCCAGAACACATTTTTATAAATAGAAACAATAAATTTTAAAATGCATGAGAGCATTAACAGGTAACAGATTGACTAGAGTGTACACATACTCAAATAAGTGGGGTTCTGTTAAAGCATATCTTTAGCATATCCTTAAGTTTTTTGGCAGTATGTAAGCTCTACAGTAAAAGGTAAAATGGTATCATAAGGAAGGTATGCTTTAAAGGCCTCCAAGAAAGAGCTACCCCATTATTTTAGTGGCAGACATATCACTGTGCCTTGGAGCTTCTACTAACACTTGGTTCTTACCTCCCCCCATCCAAGAAATATGTTCAAAAGAACTTAAACAACCCAGAAAATGGTTAATTTCCTTAGCAAAGTCAATGTAATTAAAAAGAGAAATGTTCGAATGCTGTATCTACTCATGAAGTGGAGATCTGGCCAGCAATAGGGTCCTATGATCAAGGTAAACTGCTAAAGTGGAATTTTTTATCTAAATTATCTGGTCTGGGTGTTTGCATCAGTCAAGTCAGCCAAACACTTGCCAAGTCTCCACTAAACTTTATCCTGTGTGGGAACAGCCTATGTTTAGAAAGAGAGCACAAAATGCCGTGGAAACTGGCAACCTTTCTAATTCTTCCCAAAAGAAATGGAAATTCCCAACACAAAGTTAGAGGATAAAAAACAAGAGTACTCACGATGATTGGGAAGCTTTTCTTCTGAGTAAATAGTCCACAACATCAGGGTCAGTCTCTAATAGGCTGATCAAAACTTCATTCTGGAGATCTGGAGGGACCTGAAGGAATAAAAACAAGTAGAAAAGAACATTAGGGAGAAATAGCTTAGAAGAGTATGGAATTATGGCATGTTTTTTTTTGAGAGACTACAGAAATAAAAGGCAGTTTTAAGTATCATAGAAGAAGATTATTGCTTTGTTAACTACAATCATAATCTGAGGCTTTGTGAAAAGGCAGTACCTTGGCTTTGGTGTCCTTTGACCTTCATATTGCCAATGTTAACCATTACTATCTTTTTTTAAATTTAAAATTATATTTTTTCACTTAAAACATTTTCTCTCCCACCCTCTTCCCTTACCCAATCATGCCACTGAGGAAAAAGAAAAGGAAAAAAAACACCTCTTGTAACAAATGTGCATAGTCAAGCAAAATAAATCCCCACATTGGCCATGTCAAAATATAAGTTTCATTCTGCACCCTAAGTTCACCTCTGCCAGGAGATGGGTAGCATGTTTCATCATGAGTCCTCTGGAATAGTGGTTGGTAATTGCATGGATCAGAGTTCTTAAGTCATTCAAAGTTCTTTCTCTTTACAATGTTGTTGGCACTGTATAAATTGTTCTCTTGATTCTGCCCACTTCACTTTGTATCAGTTCATACAAGTCTTTCCAAGTTTCTCTGAAACCATTCTTTCCCTCATTTCTTATGGTACAATAGAATTTTATCACATACCCATACCATCATTTCTTCAGCCATTCCCCCAATTTCCCTTAGTTTCCAATTCTTTCCTGCCACAAAGGAAGTTGTTATAAATATTGTTGTAGGTATAAGTCCTTTTCTTCTTTCTTTGATCTCTTTGGAGTAAAACTTTCACCCTACATCAGCCATCCAGAAACATGACTACCCATAGACATTGTCATCCAGTTAAATGACATGATATTTTGGAAAGACTGTTAGACTTGGGGTCAGAGGACCTCAGTTTATTTTTTACTCAGCTAGATGTAAAAACATATTTTAAATATTTCTTTTTTATAATTTTTGAGTTCTAAATTACCTCCTTCTCTTCCATCCCTTCCTCTTCCTTGAGAAGGCAAGCATGTTAACATAGATTATACATGTGCAGTTATGCAAAACATTTCCATATTAGCCATGTTGCAAAAGAAACACATAATAACAACAAAAACAGAAAAATAAAGTTAAAAAATAACTATGTTTCCATCTGTATTCAGACTGCATCAGTTCTTTCTCTGGAGGTAGATGGCATTTTCTCATCCTAACTCTTTCAGAATTATCTTCTATCAATGTATTGCTGAGAAGAGCTGAGTCATTCACAGTTGATCATGGTACAATATTGCTCTTAATATGTACAGTGTTCTCCTGGTTCTACTCACTTCACTTTGCATCACTTTGTATAAGTCTACCTAGATTTTTCTGAAACTATCTTGCTCATCATTTCTTATAGCACAATAATACTCCATCACCATCATATACTAGAACTTGTTCAGCCATTCTTCAACTGATGGACATCCCTTCAATTTCTAATTCTTTGCCACCACAAAAAGAGCTGAGTGGCTATGTAATCTTAAAGTTACTTTCCTACAGTAACAGATACGATGGTATGTAGAGAGGATGGTTTCAAGGCCTCTAAGACAGTTATCATATTTCAATGATAGACATATTGATATGACTTTTTTACTTTAAAGAAAATGTATAGGGTGTCAGAGATACTGATCAAGTCAGCCAGCTGTGGACTGCCTGAACACCTCATATTTCTCATCTGTAAAATGAACGACTGTAACTTTTCTGGAGGAAACTTACAGAATTGTATTGATTGAATGTTATCTAATTTTTGTTGGACTTTCAATGATGCTCAGAAATTTTAAATTCTTCTGTGTTGATTCCCTTATTTCACAGTATCTATTTAAATTTTTTTTTCCCCATTCTTGTCTGTTTAAATTTTTTCCATTCTCCTTGAACTGTTACCTTGAGTCATTCGGCAGGTGACTTCATGTCTGGCTCTCTCAAATACCCTCTTCTACACCCTAAATTTGTTGTCTCCTAACCCAGATCAATTGCTTATTTTCTTCAGTACCAAATCCAGAGTTTATTGGCAGGAGATGGAGGTCACTAAGTCAGAATAACTCTAAAAGGAATAGTTCCAGGGAAAAAGTTGAACATGACTTTTACAGATTTCTAATGTTTAGATGCAAATAACTAAATAAAATAAAAATGAAGCTATTTAAGGACAAAATATTATTCCAGCAGAGATAAAACTGTTGTAAGTTTCTGGAGGGAAGTTGTCTAAGGACCTTTAGTGAACAAAACTTATTCATCTTGCCCCCCTTCCAGATTGGATGTCAAGGGATTTTATCTCATTGGTGGCCCCAGAGTTTGTATTGCTGAGTTGTGAGGACCTGGAAAAGGAGAGTCATGCCACTTCTGTTAATAAACAGAGAGATAAGACATGAAACTGAAAAGTATGGTTTGTAGAAAGAAGGGAACTTCTTTTCCCGGGAAAATTTGCAATAGTGTGGAAGAGAAAAAACTGCTTTACATTTTTTTTATGGCACCACATACACAATCACATTTTTTTGCTATTACATACTTTCACGCACTATTTTCCTCTTCAGAGGCATGGATGTAAATCTAAATTGGTCATATACAAAATTGTACTTTTTCTGGAGTGACCCAAGAATCCTTTTCTTAGAAGAGTTTTTTTCTTAGTTTGTTTTCACTATGCCTGCTTTTAATCAAAGTCACTCTCTTTCAGTGTAATTGGTTTAATGAGCATCAAGACTTAATCAACCAAAACTTATCATTAACAAAAGCAATGTAATCTTCCTCTTGTTTAGACAGAAGGTCAAAGAATGATCTTTGGGCCTGAAAACTTTTTCTGCCCCGAGTTTAAAGTAGCTGTGACCTTATTATATTGTGGGACTTCACAAGAGTACTGGCAGAGGTATGAGTAATGGTATTGAGACATCTTTCAGGAGTGAGGAAGAGTTAAGATTCTGTACTTCTTAATGGGAAGCAATTTTCAAGAAATGGCTATTGATTTTTCTTTCATTTTTTTTAACAGAGTAAGTATCATAAACAACAACAAAAAAGGAAGAGTAATTTCCAAACAGAATTTATGTTGCTGAGATGATACTGCGTCAGTGAAATGCGTCAGTGAAAATAAACTATCTATACAATTTTAAGTAATCCCTGGGGGGAGAAAGAGTGAAATTGAAAGCAATAAAAAAGGTAATTCATTAAGTGCTTACTGTGTGTTCAGAACACTAGGATCTAAGAATGATTCTATTTCCATTCTTCACTGGATCTATAATCTTATCAAAGTGAGTACTTCCTCCAATCATGCAGATTCCAATGATCTTGTGTGATTCTTCTTATTCACATTTTGCCACAAATTCTCCTTAGAATGTCTGCATAACATGCTGGGGGGCTTTCCTCTATATCTTTTAACCTTTAAGGCTATCACTTAGAAAATCCGTTATTCCTTGCCTTTGTCCATAAGTGGCCCATGTCCTTTTCTAATCATAGATGACATCTTTTATACTACTTCTATACATGTGATTACTGGTAATATACTGAAGCCTGCTTACACCCATCCCGGTTTTCCCCAATGCTCTTTGAATCAGTGACAATTTTCATTCTTTGAAGATTGTGGTCCATTATGCATAGCCATAGAGCATCACCAGAAGAACGTACATGTGAAAAATAATTTTGTTTCATGGAGCATTGTGAGGTCACTGAAAATGTTACCTTATTTCCCAAACACAATCCAGCCTATATTCATGCTATTGGACTGTTCATCTATAGTGTCTGCCCAGAATGTATGTACAGTTTGATTGGTTGTGTATTCAAGGGCATTTCACAATCTGGGAGCAGAGATGTCAAACATACCTGCTCATGGAGTGCAGCTTACAACACTCCAGAATGCAACCTGAACCAGATTAAATTGTATCTGGAAAATATTTAACAAAATAAATAGAAATGCAATAGGACATTAATGATGTTAATATGTGGTTTTCTAAGCCAATATAAGGCCTACAAGGATCCTTATATGTGATTTGATGGCCCCTATTTCTATTTGAGTTTGACACCATTAGTCTATAGATAATAAGTACTCATCTTCCACTTGTTTTTCCTAAAGGAACATTTAGTTCAAAAGCCTTTGAATAGTTAATGACCTTATATAGAAGGCCTACTTGAGTGTGGTGGCACATGTCTATAATCCTTGCTTCTGAGAAGGATGAAGATTGTGATCAATTGAACTCTGGGGTTCTGAGCTGCAGTGTGCTAATCCCATTTGATGTCCACACTAAGTCTAGCACCATTATGGTGAACAAAGGAATAGGCTGAAGAGCTACCTTTCTGTAAGGGGAATACCCCATCCTCTTAGGCCAAAGTGGAGAAGTGGATTGGTGAAGACATAGAAAGATTTTGAGATACAAAAGAAAGAAGATGAGGAAATTCATTGAGAGCTTCTACGTTTTCAGTAAAGTTGCAAGGTCAGAGCAAGAGATGGGGTATGGGGAGAAGAACGGGGTCTTGAGGTGAAAGTGTGATGGCTGTAAATAATATGATAGAGAAACAATCAGATAAGAATTTAAAATGTTGTGAGGTCCAGATGAGGTTAGACAGCATAATTTAGTCACAAACCTAGTTATAAATCTTTTATGATTTACTCTAGAAACTCTGGGCTTCTCAGAAGTAGAAATGGAGAAAACGCAAACTTAGAGTTACCCAGGGTTGGGTCTCACAGGGCAAAACAGTCAAGAATCCAAAAAAAAGGAGTGAACCAAAAGAGAGCTCTTAATATACCACACGGTGATGGAAGCTTAGTCGTTAGGCATCATGGTATACACCAGACTCAGATTCAAAGTCTGCTGCTTAGAAGCTAAGTATCCTTGGCCAAATTAAATTCTCTGAATCTTCATTTTTCTCATGAACAAAATGTAGAGGCATCTATAAATGTAGAGGCAGGGGAGTGCTGCAATGGATTCAGTGCTGTACTTGGAAATGGAAAGCTGTTGTTGCTGAGTTGTTTGTAGGT